TAAATTAAATTAAAAAATTAAAGTATTAATACTTTTAATAAGGTAAGTTATATCTAGGTAACTAGAAGCTTTAATAGCTAAGAGAATATAGAGCTAATTAAGTTTATAAGATTAATATATCATAAGTTTAAACACAATGCTATACTTGGTAGACAAAGGGCTGTAGCCTCCCAGCGTTGCCCAACTGACATACCTAACCGAAGCATTCGGTGCCCTTCGCTCTCATTAGTAACCATCAGCCTGAACCGTGGTGTTGACTCACGTTGGTGTAATCAGGCTGCCAGCATCCAAAGCCTTTGTCAACTCCCGTGTGATGATGCCTCCCCCAATCTGAACAGTCCTCTTATCCTCTGAAATATTCACGTATTGGATGTCACGCATATCGATAGTCAATGCCCCGTCCACCTACCCGCCTGACCGAACCACAAAGTCGGCGGAGTGAGAGACGCAGAAACGAACGAGTTCCTGTACGTGTGACGCATTTTGGGGTCTAGCGACGATGCTCGGAGAGCTGGAAGCTTTGATGAATCATTTCGTGATATCGGTCCATGATTCATCGCCGGGGAATGAGAATTTAATGTTTTGGTGATTGGCAATGAAGTCTTGGAAGAGACTGGGGAGGGAGTCTGAATTGCTAATGGTGGCCATGGCCAGATGTTTGGGGATGCTGTGAGAGCAGAAGTGTAGATGAATGAACAAGAAAGGGCTGGTGGCTCTTTATATACCACTATATGCTAGGGTACTCACTCAGCTCTCTAGCCAAGATCACCCGATCCTTTGCAGTCTTTCGTGGGATTACTCCGCCTTATTGGTCTTCACGGCATAGCTAGCTAACACGATGACAGGCCAAAACCAGCCGCAATTACAACATATTTGCCGCCAAGCTCTCGGCGTTCGGAATTCCTTTGACCCCGTCTTATTCTGAACTGCCAAGTTGTTTCCCAGGGCGAGAGACCTTGCTGTGAGAGAGACAGCATGATATGATAGCATAACTGCACCAGTCACGTTGCTCCACCAATCTCAACATGATGATGGCCCCAGATCAATGTAAAAGGACGCCACTTATGTAACCATATTTCCCGATCTGGGATTCCGTATGTCCTTCGCTGTTTCTCCAGGTTTGAAAGTCCGACGAAGGCCGCGAGGAAACGTGACTGAGATTTTGCGCTGAGTCAGCGCAGAATGAACTGGGGAATTCCATCATTTGACTTGGTCGGCAGGTTCAGTTCCTTACAGGATAAATTTAAGCCAACTTGATCAAAGCAACACATTAGCAGTTTCCCGCGTTCAGGCAGAATAGACTCTATTTTCCTTGTAGCCAATATCAACTCCTAATAATTAAAGAACTGGTAATTGCAGGTATCATATATCACCTGACACATAAGCTAACCTAAAGGGTTATCAGCCGAATATTTCTTGGCAATGGCAGCCTAATTGCAGATGACATTTTCTTGGATAGGTAGGGAGACATAAAAGAGATTGTCGGCTTACAACACCTCCTAGCCCCAACCTTCCATGTATCGTATTCTCCCAGTCATACCCAAAATGCCCTCTCCTACGCTCTCAAGTTTGCCAACTGAGCTCATCACCCACATCATCGACCGTGCTGACCCATCCTCACATCTAAACCTCGCCTGCGCATGCAGTCATCTCTTCAAGTGCGCGAAAAAGACTCTCACCCATCATCGAGAGGCCCATCGAAAGTTCTCTGTTATCTCAGACCTTGACCCCTCAACTATCCCCACCCTTCTTCGCAGCGCCTCTGGTATCACCAGCCCCATCGACGCCTGGCATGTCAAACATCTTGAGCTCTGGGGACCGAGGTGGGACTGGACCGAATGGAGACCTTGGTCTTTGCGCAAAACAGCTGAACAAGCTGGAGCCCCAAGGCAAAGGCGACGGCATGCCTTTGAGAAAGCACCGTGCTTAGAATGGGTGATTCCTCGTTGGGAACTAGCTCACTACTTGAAAATCATGCGGGAGGAACTGGGCTTACCAGAGAACGTGGTGGACTTGGCACGCGTAGAATTTCAGCGAGGCTGCGATAGCGTCATGCAGATGCTTCTTATCGTGCTATGTCCACAGCTAGAAAGCCTAAAATTCATGTACAACCGATACGACGAGGTTGAGAGGTAAGTAAAGACTCTGTCATGAAAGCCAAGTCAGCATCTAACATATCACAGTCGTCGAGGTCTTCACTGGCTCACATTCGTTATGGGAAAGAGCTGGCTTGATAGCTCGTGGCCTCTAGGTCTTCAAAGCCTCCGAGATGTTGCCGTAGGCTTAACATCAAAGACTTGTCTTGACGACGATATGGGATATCTCTGCTACCCTTGTAGCTATTTCACAGGCTTGATGAAACTTCCAAACCTTAGATCCTTGTACTTTGAAGGACTGCGACCACGAGATCGTCCCGAGATCGATGGTGAGGATGTGGTTGCTGCAAACAGACATCTTGGTGACGACAGAGCACTTGAGCCTTCAACTACCATCAGTCTTCGAGATGCAGCTGATGCGCTGCCGGCCAGATGCTCGAGCGTAGAAAATTTGTATCTCAAAGACAGATGCGACTACGTCAATACTGTGGAGCTAGCCGCAGCGCCGAGAGCTCTTAAATCATACACTATACACGTCGGTCTGCTTAGTTCCTACCAAGTCAACAAACAGTTAAAGTTTATGGTTCAAGAACAACGCGAGTCGCTCGAAAGTATCATGATCTACGATGCTGCCAAATTTCTAGGATATAGTTGCACACTGTATGAGCTTGGCCGTGGTATTTCAGTAAGCGAGTGCACAAATCTGCGCCAGATTCACGTCGAGAGGATTGACTTTCTGACATGTGCTTACTACATATTTCCTTGGAGTGACGGCGAAATTCAGGAGGTGGTAGAAGTTTGGGAAGATGCTAGTAAGCACCAAGACTGCGCTGAGGCGATCGCCGGTTATCTCCCTCCTTCCCTCGAGGTCCTCATATTGGGAAATTCCGCGGGGATCACGTCGATGGAAATGGAGGAGGATATTTTGATGCGGATAATACTCTCGAATAAGCTTCCATGTCTGAAGGCGATCTTTATTGAGCTTCCAGATGATGGGGGTGAGATCTATTCGCTTGCGAAATTATATGAGGTTGGCTGGGAAAAAGGCGTCGATATCCGTGTTAAGACGAATCCCCAAGGACCTCGACATCAGATTCAGTTACCCATGGCGCCTCAAGCTATCAGCCATCAACCACGCCAGAATGCTCAACAGTCTGAGTTTGATCCGTTCAAAGGATGTTGGATAGAGGGCCTAGGGGAAACGCAGGTTGAAGAACAGACTGGCGACGTGTCTGTCGACGATGTATTTGAGGCCTTGGATGAGGAGGTTGAAACTGATGATGACTGTCCTGACTTGCATCGTCAGTACGATGGTTAGGAACAATGACTGCTCTTGTTCACAGTCATTAATAAAATACATTTAAGGATATGATGGTCAGTTCAAAGGTTGCCCTAATACTGGACGTAAGCAACTACGATACTAAGCTCTGGTTGCTGATTTAAACTATCAGCCATAAGTCCCAACTACAAATAACACATCTGGCTCACATTCTGTCGAACATTATACCGCAACATGTAGAAGAGGGAGAATACATTAGTCAAGGAATAAAAAACAGAATTCGGACAAGAGGTTTGAGGAGAACCAATACTCGCATATGAAAACACTAACCGGTCTATCGAATCTATCCCTATATCTATCTACCCAACAGCCTCTCTCCATTTTCTACCAGAAAAGAGCCTCAGTTGCTGGTTGTCATATACTCAGCCAGATTATGGGCAGCCATGAAATCCGCCCACTTCATCAGATCAAGGCCAGGAAGCTGGATAGAGCATCAGAGATACGAACCCTCAGATACATAATCCTTGGAGAAGCTTACCTCATTAGCTTGGACGAACTCAGGACGAGCATAGATCATGCCGAAGTCCCGAAAGATGAGCAACTGCTCTGTAAAGTCCAAAGCGCACGTGTCGTCCATCTTGCTTTTTAGAATGGATTGGAACTCCTCAGAAGAGAGCTCGTTGTAGCGTATATCGATCCCATATGCTTGTCAAAGTCAGCGATGTGAAGCTCTCGTTCTTGGTGTCTTTAGCTGGATTGAGTACTTACCAGATGCCATGGACTTGATCTTTTCACCTTCTGAGATCGCCTCAGAATAGAATGCAATCTCTTTCTCGAGACATTCGTCAGGATGATCGAGGATATACTGGACCAACTTGCCGGTATCAGAGATAGCAACATTCGGAAGCGGAGTTGTCTCAGGGAGAACAAACGATCTCAAATAAGTCCCATCATCTTGCTAATCCCGATGTCAACACATCCACCGCTAAGTCCATACGACAACGAACCTTGATAGGAAGATAAGTACGCGGCTGCGTAAGACAATTCTCAAAGTAATTCGGAAACAGCACTGCAGTCGTCTTTTTCCATAGAGCAGGTTTCTCGGTCCGAATGTAATCTGTAACAGCTGCTTTGCTCTGCCAATGATAGACATGAGGATACTTCCCATTCGAGATAGCTTTAGCGTCAGGTAAACTGGCCCAGATGAGTTGCTCAAGATGAGGTAGGCCAGCTGCTATGTCCATGATGTGCTTTCCCTGCTCTTCCTCTTTGGCAGCGGACATGTGCTGCCAGAAGTCTGTCATGGCGAAGATGACGTTAGCGCCTTGGAAGGCTCGTCGGAGACTTTCCGGGTCATCGACGTCTGCTTGGTACATCTCGATGCCAAGTCCCTTCAGGGCTTCGGCCTTGTGGGAAGAGACATTTCGGGTTAGACCGCGGATATTGTACCTATCCTGAGATTTGGCAAGTGTTCGGACAACAGAGCCTCCCTAAGTAGGCAATGTCGTTAACTTGATTGTTCCCTACCAATTGGGTCGGTAATCGTACCTGAAGGCCTGTTGCACCAATAACGACCACAGTCTTCTTGTCTTGAGTCATAGTGAGATGGTTTAAAAGGTTTTAAAGGTTGGAATTTAGGTGAAGTCTCTAATGATAGACTCTGTACGGATAACTCTTTGGGAATTCCAGTGGGAGATGCACCTTTTATAGATCATCTTGGAAATATTAGTGATTCCACAGTCAGTGGAGTTCTGCAACAACTTCACGAGCTTCAATCGGAATTTTGCGACATTGATGTCATAGACCCTTCTAATTTCCCGCTGAGTCAGCGCATTCGTGATGCTCAGTGTCCACCAGTGCCGGACTCATGAGAATGCCGGAGACCGGGAGTAATGGACGAATTACTAACAGGTCATCAACCTCGTCATTTCCCTTGTAGCAATGTCTAATTCTCAGATTTGGGTAAACAGGTTCTGAAGTGTTACCTATCTCGGATGGCGGCTCATCCCGATTAGCGCCGATTCGTCCAACTGCCGCCTCGGAAAACCCGAGGCGCGATGGCTGGTAGTCATAAATTTTCCCAGCTTAGTACAACACAACTTATCATCCCTCTCCAGAAGCGACATGCGTTTAACGAGTAACAGCCCATAGTAATGCCGAAATCTACTAGAGGTCGAAAAGCGCGGGCTTGCGACTCGTGTCGCAGGAAGAAGGTGGGTTTTGCTCCGCTGTCTCTTCCGTGCTTGAGTAGTCAGGCCGCGGCGCCGGTTCTCAGTCGTTGAATCGAATGATCTTATGCCAATTCTGGAGTTTGCCAACAGGTTAATTTGCTAACTCGTGTCTAGATCCAGTGTGACCGAGCTGTACCGCAGTGCGACTACTGCCAACATCATGGCCTGACGTGTTCCTACAACGAAGCTGCAAAGACAGGGGGTCCCGCACTTCGGTATACGAAGTCCTCGGACGATAGATTGCGGCTCTTTACTGACTCATTGCAACAGATCTCGGCTTTCAAGGATTTCGAACTCCGCATCACCACCTTGCCAGCTGAGTTCGTCTGAACAAGATGATGGGGAACTTATTCCTCGAGGCAAGAATATTTCATGTCGCATCATGTTTTTCGTTTGCTAATTGAGGGTGCTTTTGTCAGTGAGCGATGCTTATGATCGCAATCCAACCTATCTAGAGGGCTTGCGTTTGGTAAATGGTAATCCACTCTTCAGCCCCGAAGGTCAACAATGGATCAGAAGCAGGACAGGCTCAACCATTTCATCAAGTATCATCGACAAGTACCGTCTTCCTTACCTGTGCTCCATCAGGCCCCCTTTGGTAAACGATAACCACAAGATTCTAAACCTTCCCGACCGTCGGATCGTCGAGGAGCTAGCCGCGCGATTTTGTTCATCTACCCAGTCTCTCGTCTTCCCATTGCTATGCCTCGAACGCTTCACCATGAGGACCTTGCCTCTCGCATACACGTCTATCCCTAAACGTCATGCCACCAGTGCCAAGTGTTGTGCATACGGGGTACTCATTCTGAGCGACATCTTTGGCCTTGACTCGGGCGACGAAATGGCTGAGATTAGTTGCTGGTGTCAACGATATGCGCTAGAGATAGAAGGTTGGATACCCGTGATTCTACGGGAGATGAGGGTCGACGGGCTTGAGTCTTTGATGATGCTCGTAAGTACCAATTCTCCAATTTAGCAAATCGGCCTGACTCGTGACTGTACAGATGATCTATAAATACTTCATGGGAGATTTAGAATCCGCATCATTCCTCGTTTCAGTGACTTCGCGCTTCTTGATTCAACTTGGAGCCCATCTATACCCTTCTTCTTCAGGTGACTACGATAAGCACAGGAATTCTCACCATATACGTGACCTGTTTTGGGTCTGCTACTGCATTGACAAAGACCTATCTCACAGGACTGGCCAACCATCTACCATCAATGATGATCACTGCGATCTCACGCTACCTCCCAACTACGTCCAAATGCAGAGCTCCAATATCCTGAGTTCCAGCCCATGTCCAAGTCGCAGCTCCTATACGGTGCCACTCTATCCATGGGACATTCGACTCTCTGTCATCAAGTCAAAGATCTACAATGACCTCCACTCATTGCGCGCCTCCAGACTATCGGAAACCGAAATATTGAGGAGGATTCGGCATCTAGACGAAGAGCTGGAAGCTTGGAGGGTGACTTTACCATCTGATCATCGGCCGACCTTGTCGTTCCTGGAGCAGACACCTGTTGATGCTCATACTAATACGCAGGCCATCATGCTCCGGTTGTCATATCACCACTGCGTTATTCTCATTCATCAAGCCCGATGCAGAATCTTCCAGTCAGACCAACCCATCGAGAGCTTGATAGACGACGGCCATAGGATAAACTTCCAGATCCTCGTCGACGCCTCAAGATCTATCTTGATCTACCTGGAAAAAGCTTTGCCTGTCCTGGCCCATGAATGCTTCTGGTGCGTATTCTTGTCCCGCAGTTCTTGTCCCGCGGCTCTAATGTTCCGCCACGACAAAAGCTGACATGGTATAGGGTCATCATCTTCTATCCGATGACTGCAATCTCAACCATCTTCTCCGTCGCGCTTCTAGTTAACCGATCGGACCCAGGGAACGAAAGAATTCAGCTGCTGCAAGGCTTTACACGTTTGATCAGACAAATTCCCATCAAAAGACTCACAGTCGCTGAGATATCACACCTAGAGTTCATCGAGGAGGTCGTGGAGGAGATGAGCAGATTAGTGTTACTCACTCCTTGAACTAGAGCCTTAAGCCCTGACGCGTTACCAAGTTAGACGGATAGAGTCGCTCAGACCAGCCTACGGCTTACCGATCATGACACAAATAGCATTCCATACAAAAGCACCAATATACTCAAGATCAATAAGACCAACGGCCTTAACATTACCTCCGCATATTTAACCGCGTTAACTCCCAATTGGAGTTTATGTTAAGCGGGGATGAATGCGAAAAACAAGCACGGCGTCAGCAAGAGCCGGAGAAATAGCATTCTCCGATGAAAGACCGCTAAACCCAGCGAATCACAGCACCGAAAGCGAGACTATACTGGATTGGGAAAGGGATCTCTGATTGGTCAAGATACTATCATCGTCATGTTAGAAGGCGTATGTTGGATATATAAGACAGAAGATTCTCTTGCAGTAGATGAGAATGTCTACAGACAAGTTCATCGTACAAACGCATTTACATCTCTACTAAGTTTAACATTCAAATCTTTACTACAATGGAGTTTCCCAACCCTTCTCTCATCGGCGGCGCAGCTGACATCCCAGTCAACTCTGCCTCTCCCATCATCACCTTCACACCAGTCATTCTCCCCTCCGCAGACCGCAGAGTCGATCTCGACCTCAAAGTCACAGCACCCATCAACGGAGACAACCTCCCCATTATCGTTCTCTCCCACGGCCACGGCCCAAGCAACTATCTCTCCTCCCTTAAAGGCTATGGCCCTGTTGCCGATTGGTGGGCTAGCCATGGCTTTGTCGTCATTCAACCTACGCACTTGAGCTCTCGACAACTAGGCTTTGAGCTGAATGCTGAGAGCATCAGTGAACTATTCATGGAGTCTCGCGCCCAGGATTTGGTTCAGATCGTCGATAGTCTTGATACCATTGAGACTACCGTTCCTCTCCTTAAAGGAAGACTGGATAAGTCCAAGATCGCTGTTGTTGGACATTCTCTCGGTTCTTTATCCTCTGCTCTCCTCCTCGGTGCCGTTAACACTGATCCTCGCGACGGAAAAACCTTCAAGGTCGCTGATCCTCGCATCAAAGCCGGCGTGCTCTTCGGTGCCATCGGCGCAAGTGACGATCCCTCCGAGAACGGAAAATCCATGCTTCCCTTCTTAGACATCGACTTCTCCAAGATGACGACTCCCTGTCTTGTCTTCTGGGGTGACAGTGACGTCAGCCCGCATCTCACCAACCGAGGAGCAGACTGGCATAACGATCCTTATAAGCTTTCGCCAGGACCTAAAGCTTCGTTCGAGGTGAAGGATGGAAAGCATGGGTTTGGTGGTATTAGTGGATGGGACGCTAAGGAGTGTCAGGATGAGGGTGTTGAGAGGTTGGCGGCTATGCAGCGGGTTACGTGGGCTTATTTGAGGACTCAGTTGTATGGTGATGATTCATGGGAGGAGGCGAAGAGGGCTATCGGGCAGAGTCACCAGATTGGAATGATTGAGGAGAAGTAGTGGACCCAGGAGCTTTTGAGTCTCTAGTTAATGATAGTTACTTGTATAAATACCGTGTCTTGTACCGACAAGTTTGCCTTGACACTTTCTCAACCACGACATTACTAAGATAAACACGAAAGCAAAGCATTGACTACCTCTGTCGACTGGTATATAAATAGACTACAGCACACTATCACCCTCGTTCAGGACTTCCTCGGATCTCTACCAAGAACCCTTATAATAACCAACTGAAATCCTTACCCGTCTCAAACCCCTATGCACAGTTCCCTTCGTTCGGGTCCGCCCTAAGATATGTCGTTAACATCTTTAAATCATTGCACATAGAATACCAATACTCACGAGAAAGTAAGAGCACCAGCTCCCTCAGTGGCGGGGTACGAACTCCTTCCTCCATGGTCACACCCATTGATCTCGCGATGGAAATACTCAGTGCACAAGTTCTTCTCAACAGCATGCGGAGGCCCATCAGCTGGAATCTCGGAGTCGTAGCGGAGGAAAAAGTCCATCTTCTTGTTGCTGCTCAGGTTGACACACTTATTGATGTACTGGCCGGCGGTAGTGAAGGGACGGTTGATTTTCCCGTCGCAATACTCCTGGGCAGTCTGGAGAGCGAGGAATTTCTCTGCGCCCCAGGTTACGCCTGATTCGTGGCAGTCGCGCTTGTGGAGGGTGTTTGGGAATGCAGCGGCGGATGATGCCCCGATAGTAATGAGAAATGATGTAAGTTTCATTGTGGCAGATATAATAATGATTGGTAGTAGAAGAATCTTGTTAATGATAAGTTATGTGTGAATTGATAAAGACTTTCTCGAGCTTTATAGTTGTTGTGATGTCAATTCTTGAAGTTAAATTTATCTTGTTAATGCGGCCCCCATTCCATGACGTCCATGACTCTTCCTTCTGCTCCTCATGAAGCATGAGGGTCAAGATCCTTCTATCGTATACGAGAGGATCTGCATCTTCAAGCTGAAGTCCAAGGCAAGATTTACCTTCTGAATTAAGCTAAAAGTGAATAAGCGCTAAGGGGAAACTCAAATCTATCCGCCCTTATTGGCTGCGTAAGCGGACTGGCACGGCCCGCGAAGGCTTAGCAGCATAGAACCCCATCAAAGGATTTCATCGACGTAGCTTAACTACGTAGATTGAACAACGTTACTTGGGGCTTGGTCCCACTGGGGCGGGATACCGATGCGATTCAAAATAGCTTTACGGCAGTGATCTGCTGCATTGACCGGATATCATCGTCCTTGGTCATCACTTTGGGCTTCGCATCCGGTTTCTGGGGGCGAAAATGTTTACACATTTAGAAAAACAGGTTTCTAGTCATCATGCCTGTAAATCCTTCGTTTACTCGGATAAACGCCTCTTTCATTCGTCAGTTTTCAAAGGCACTTACACAAGGCAGAGGGTTCATAGATCATAGCCTTCCAGGAACTCATCGACTTGGCTATAAATGAGAGAACCCGCAGCTGTTGACTGGAACACTATCAAGCTACTTCCTACACATATCCAACTACAAGCCTATTCCATCTCTCTCTTGACTCTTCTATTCACCCTTTACCTTTACTAGTCAACACCTAAGTCCCCAATCCACAATGCACTACCCATCATTCCTCCTTGCCGCCCTCTTAGCTGCCATCCCCACGGCCAGCGGAGAATGCCACCGCTCTGGAGAAACCTGGGGCGGAGACAAATTCACCGCACTAGAAGCAGCCCAGCGTCTTTGCACCGACGGCAGCTTGGCTGTGAGTGACTATAAGCGCGGAGAGTTCAAGACCTTCTGTGTCAATCTGAGCACCTTGAAGAAGGCCGATTTCACCGTCCTGGTCGGTGGAAACGTGATTGGGGATGGGTTCAGAATCTCCTCGGCTGATTGTACCGACCGACTCCACAGGGAGATCAACGGCTGTGATCATGGGGGCAGGTCTTCTTATAAACAGGGGGAGGACAACCCTCAAGGAGCCAATGTTGTCTGGGATTTCTCGTAAGTTTTGATCTTACTGTTTGCCTCTGAGGATAATTTGCTAATCTCTTGATAGTGCTGATCCCGGTTCGGGCCAATGTGCTTAGGTTTGAGATGCTGTTGCTTGTAACCGCTGTTCGGCTTTGGGGAGGAGGTATGGTCAAGATGTTGAAGGCTGTAGATATGTTCTATACATGAGCTTATAAGAGATCCGGTCGTACTCCTCCCTCCCTAAGATTTTGATGCTTGGTCACTATGCACAAGATTATATCTTCTATGTACTATCTATCTAGTTGGAGTGGAAAGGCTCAATATGTCCATTACTATTCTGTGTGGTTATATCAATTATAGGACTTGCCTCTTGGCCCTGAAGCCAGTTATAGGTAGATTCAATCCGAGTGAAAGGTTTACCTCTTGTTTTGCGGGAAATGACCACCACGTATTGGACTCACCCCGTCCATTGTGTTAGATTAGACCTGAATATTTATTTTCTAGTCTCGCACGACTCCTTCTAAGGGCACAGATGAGTGTCTCCATTTTAATTTTAGCTCAACGGAGTAGGTGGCCACCTACGCGAATAGTACTGCGCCTAAGCGGATGACTGTCTCTGGACCTGAGTAAGTGATACGGACCCCAACTATTGTCCTAACTGGCTCGTGGCTGAGCTTCAGCTCGCATTGAAGCAGGTCAACAATCGATTTCTGCATTTTAGTGTTCTATATTGATCACGAGGACAGTGCCTTGCATCTTTCCGACTGGCTGGCTGCGCCCCGGTGATCCACAGGGCGCAGCACATGGTCTTGGGGTCTGGTAGATAAGGTAGGCAAGTCAGTCAGTCAAATGATAATCTGCAAGTTATCTCTATTCTCTCACCCGCATTGCATGGAGACGTCTCGAGCTATCTATCTTCAAAAATGCCGCACCACCACCATACGGACAATACAACGTTCGCCGGGCCACCATTACCTGAAACAGAGCCCCTCGTCCCGCCTACTACTACCTTCGAAAATGACACCAGAATTGACGTCACAACGACAGAACGTATAATCTCAATGATTATATTTTCTGCAGTTGTGATTTTCGGAGTTTGGACAATCTGGAGCTGGAGCCAAGAGCCGTGACGACCGCCCTATCCTGGCCCATGAATCTGCGTGTCATACACTATACGAACATTGCTATGAACCACGCCTAGGTCATGCTGCAAAGCCAGAGATGTAATGCGGGATTGAGTGGAGGACGGGAAGGATGCTACGATCTTCTAGTAGCCCACGTGATCGATCCAGTGCTGATTTAGAAGACAACGTCTGCGCCAGACTGTCAGACATATATTGGAGCGGGGAAGCAATGCCAGTGCGATTATGATATGCATCTCTTTCTCTCCTATCAAAGCAAGTGTCTCTGGCTCCTCTATCTTCTCGGCATCTCAACACCTTGAGATGTCGTCGTCCTTGTCATGGTATCTAGCTTAAAATATTGCTGAGCGACCTTTGGCTAAAACAGAGCCGCTCGGACCGCGCAGTCTGATCTCCCAAATCTGCATCTCAAGAAAAATTTAAAGGTCCCTGACATTCATCCTTGATGTTTCCATCTACAGGATTTATCCTTTGGTCGGGCAATTAGCCAGCCAAGTCTCAGAACCGCTTGAGGTAATGATTGACATCTTTGCAACCAAACTTCGATCCATGACTGATCACAGTTCGAGAGATGCCTGGCTATATCGTCATTGATTTGGCTAGCATTCAGATCTTCAGATCTCGAAATCACCGTTCCATTTACACGTAATCTGGTCAATTGTCAGACCATGACTACGGGAGCGAAGTTGCAGCCATTATTTACGGCAAGCATTTTAACTCTCATGATCTGCACATAAAACTTCCGATGATGCCGAAATTGCAGGGTTCTAACTCAAGGGTTCGTCGGAAAGTCAAAGCTCGAGTGGTGCTTTGACAACTGCCGACTTACAGTCGCATCTGCATGGTCCTAATTAACGCATTAAACTCAATTTCCCCTGCTGATCTGCTCAATTCAGGCACAATTGCAACAATGCTACATGATGATAAACATGCGGTAATTATATCTGCAACGCACCAAGAAAGTAACTTTGAGCATTGGCACATGCAAATGAATTTCTCTTTGGGTTAAAATGCGGTGCTGCCCGGTCTGTTGTTTCTGAGCATGTGGCATTCACTCCTTCAAGCCATGATGTTGTTCTCACTCGTTCTTTGCACTTTTGTGCTATCTGCACTCGCTTCACCTTCTACACCCATCTCTGAGCAGAAACTCGGGGGATTGCGGTATCCCAAACAGCGCGGCAAGCATTATGACTACACCGGGTTTGAGCCCAGCCAGAAGAAGCGCGCGGATGATATCATTGATATGTTTCGCTTTGCGTGGAATGGATACTATGAGCATGCGTTTCCTCATGATTCTTTGAGACCAAAGTATGGCAACTACTCGGATGATCGTAATGGATGGGGCGTCACTGCCGTTGATGGTCTTGACACTGCGATTTTGATGGAGCAGACAGATATTGTCGAGATTATTCTGGACTTTATCCCGACTATCAATTTTACCAAGACGAACACGCCTGAACCTACGTCTGTTAGTTTGTTTGAGACCAATATTCGATATCTGGGTGGATTGTTGAGCGCCTATGATCTTCTCAAGGGACCATTCAAGCATCTCAAAGTCAACAAGGATAATGTCGATGCGCTACTCAAGCAAGCTACTACACTAGCCGACACGTTGAAGTTTGCTTTTGATACACCTTCTGGAATTCCTTTCGGGTCACTTTGGATCGAGAACCAGACATCCACCGATGAGAACAGCCTTGAGGATGGAACTGCCTACGCAGGATTAGCTGCTATGGGTACTCTTGTTCTTGAATGGCAGCACCTTTCGGATCTCACTGGCGATCCTCAATATGGTAAACTGGCCAATCGCGCTGAGTCTTATTGGCTTTCTCCATCTTCTGAGGTCTGGCCTGGTCTCACTGGAGGTCGCTTTAGTCTCAAGACGGGTGAGATTCTCGATGAGTACGGTGGATGGACGTCGGGTAATGACTCAGCCTATGAGTACCTCATCAAGATGTATGTCTACGATCCAGACAGGTTCAGCCATTACGGTGAGCGTTTTACTCTGGCGGCCGACTCTACCATCAAGCATCTCATCTCTCATCCATCATCGCGACCCGACTTGACCATGGCAGCCGCATTCACTGGAACACAACAAGTCAATTACACCGAATTCCTCGCATGTTTCATCGGCGGCTCATTCATTCTCGGAAGTTCAGCCCTAGACCGCCCAGACTGGCTCGACTACGGCCTCTCCTTCAGCGAGTACTGCGCCAACGGCTACCGCTACACAGCATCCGGCATCGGCCCAACCCTCTACAGCTGGGATCTCAGCGAGCTCGCGCAGCCCGAGAACAAGAACCAGACGCTCTTCTACGAGCGCGCGGGCTTCTTCATCCAGGAGGGAGCCTTCGCGGGCGGCCAGGCACCCGAGGCCGTGGAGAGCTGGTACTACGCGTACCAGAAGACGCACGACCAGTACTGGCGCGACGTGGCGTGGGCGTACACCCTAGCGCAGAACAGGACGATGCGCGTTGGCGGGGGGTTCGCTAGCATCAACAACGTGCTCTCTCCGTCCGGCGACGGAGTGCGCGGCGGCATCATGGCTAGCTTCATGCTCGCCGAGACACTCAAGTACATGTGGCTGATCCAGACGGAGAACAAGGGCGAATGGGACGTGCTGGAGGGAGGGGAGAATCTGTTTGTTTACAACACTGAGGCTCACCCGCTGCGAGTCGCTGCGAAGAAGCCTGTTTAACCTTGTTTTTAGAGATTCAGCCTAGCATTGAGCGTGGCGCACTTTGGCGTCTCACTGCCCCCGCCGGTAGATTCAATCTCCGAGGAGGCGGAGGCAAGCTTAAAACATTGTTTTGTGTCAATAGAAATGTCTAATTGCGGGCTTTGCCAATATCAGCTGAATTAACCTCTTTTCCGTGACAGTTTGGGTCATAATGTGTCAGAAGACGGTGAGGTGGCTTTCCTGTTTCGCTTAAAAACACCCAATATTGTCTGGTTGGCGCTGCCAAGAGCCCCATAAGGCTGATGTGCCTCAAAGCATATTGGGTGATGGGAATATGCATTTTCAGCTTTGGCTACTAGCGCATAGACAAGCTCAAACCAGGGCCCTACTGCCGGGTCTAGATTGTGGGAGGGGAAGAGGGAGCTTACCGAGCTGAAAGCATGAAGGTATATAAGGCGATGGCCAAATCTTGTGTTTACGGTGTCAGCAGAATAGAGCCTCACAAGAGATCTCGGCCATTGCCCTCTGTACTCTACTCACTCTCTTCCTTGTGATTGCATCCGACTTGGCACCGTCACCATGCGCCTGCTCAAAGGCCTCGTACTTGGTCTGCTCCTCGAGAGAGGCCTCAGTCAGACAGAACCTCAGCCCGAAGGTGACAGCATCGCTACTGTTGCCGACCCTGCGGAGACAGATCCCGCAGATGTGCCTGCTCCTGACCCTAGTAACCCATCAGATGGCGGTGCGCTTGATTGAAGCATTCATTTAACTCCCACTGACAGTGACCAGACACTCCTTCAGATACCCCAGACCCAGTGGATGATGGACCAACAGTCATAGTAGATGACCCTCAGCCCACTGACGGCGACGGATCCGATGCCAGAATCCCCGCTTGAGATCCCACCGATGTCGATGACCCCTCAAGCAATCCTGATGATCCCGTCGAGACAAATACAGACGATGAACAGCTAGCTCCCACCGACCTGCCC